AAGCCGGCGGCGCGGAAGAGGGAGAGGCCTAAGGGTTTTGACGAGTCCTGATTGGTCCGGAGCGGCAATCAGGACATCGTCAAAATAGGGCACAACTCCTAGGATGCCATAAAGCACCCGCTCCATGAGCCCTTGGAAAATCCCAGGAGCCACACTGACCCCAAACTGAAGCCGGTGGCACTTGAAAGCGCCGCGGTGGGTCACAATGGTTTGGGCAGTGGCGGAGGCCTCGTCTACCGGCAGCTGCTGGTAGGCTTGGGCCAGGTCCAATTTCGCAAAAATCTTGCCCTGGCCCAAGGAGTGCAGAACGTGCTGCACTACAGGCACCGGGTAGGGATGTGCCTGAAGGGCCTTGTTCAGGGTCGCCTTGTAATTGGCACAGACCCTCAGGGAGCCATCAGCCTTTAAGGGCAGGACGATGGGGGTTTCCCAGGGGGCATGGTCGACTGGTTCCAGGACGCCCTGAGAGACCAGCTTGAAAATATCGGCGTCCACGCGAGCCCGTAGGACGAAAGGAACCCGTCGTGCCTTCAGGCGGATGGGTGCCACCATGGGGTCCAAATTGTGGGAGATTGGGTTGCCCTTGTAGCAACCCAGGGTGTCGGAGAAAACGTCACCGAACTCTGACAAAAGGGAATCTAGGGAAGAAACAAGACGGAGAGAGTTAATGCCAGCTATGCTGAGCCCAAAAGCCCTAAACCAGTCTAGCCCAAGGAGAGACGCAAGGGGGCTTTGAACCACCACAAGGGGCAGGGACCCATGGAATTGGCGGAAAGTGACAGGGAAGTATCCGCAACCCAGGATGGGGATCGGGTTCCCCTGATAGTCTTGAAGGAGGCAGTTGGCAGGAGCCAGCTGGCTAACGGTGAGGGTCGGTATTAATGACCTTAAGGTGTCCCAAGACATAATTGTGCGGGCAGAGCCCATGTCCAATTCCATTTTGCAGGGGCGGCTGGCGAGTAAGACACGAAGGTGCATCTTACCCCGGCCGCCATAGGAGGAAGAGGCAGTGGAGTTGGGCTGCCATTCGGGCAGAGAGGCTCGGGGTTGGAAACTGCATAGCACCCCAGGCGGGTGGAGGAGGACCCCGGAGGCTGGCGTTAGAAGGCAGCAGGCTGACCAGGAGCAGCAGGAGGAGGCCTTGGGTTTCGAGCGTCTCCCGGAGCGGAGCAACATACATTGGAGATGTGGCCCTTCTTCCCACATCGGCAGCAGAGAGCCGTTCGGAAGCGGCAGGAGGCCCTGGGATGGCGGCCGCCACAGCTGAGGCACATGCCGCCATCCCGAGGGGGCAAGGACCGGAGGCGGTCGACAGAAGAGGCAGCATCGGCACATGGATCAAGCACCATCATCTGGCTATGCAAAGCCAAGCGCCGGCAACGCGGACGGAGGGAACAGTCGGACAGCGGGGTGGACTGGCCGGCCATCTCATAAGCTCAGGGTTTGTCCACCGCAATTTTCATTGACAGCTCAGCACAGGACAGAATTCGACGGTGCAGGTTGATGTCAAGGAGCACGTAAATAAACTGTTCCAGGAGGGCAACCTCCAGATCTGCGAATTCGCAGTTTATCGCGGCTGCCCTCAGTTCAGCCATGTACTGGCTGATGGATTGTCCTTGTCTTTGGATACAGCGCCAGAAAAATTGCTGGTGCGAATACTTGGAAGGCGTAGGCTCATAGTGTAACTTGAGCCAAGCCATGAGGAGATCCAGCGGCATAGTGTGCACCGAGGTCGGTGCAGAGAGAGATCCCGTGTGGTGGCAAACATTTCGGGCCCGCAATAGTGCAAGAAAGTGCCCCGTCGCCTCCCCTCAGGGAGCTCAGAGAGGTCATGTCCTTGGAGGAAGACCTCGAACCTCTCTAAAAATGCCTCCCAGGATTCGGCCTCTGGCCTGAATGCAGCAAAGACCGATGAAGGAGCCAGGGCAGGGACGATGACGGGGTCCGTGTCGCTCATCCTCGTCGCCAGTTTAAAGTACGAGGCGTGAGATAAAATTCAACGTCTTTATTTAACAGGTAACAACAAGAACAACTTCAGAACACGGACAGCGCTCGGCCCGCCTGACAGCTATTTATATATGAGAGCTGTCAGGCGGCTGGCCAATCGGCACCCAGTGATTTTCCCACCAGCCGGCAGGCGCACCTGGGCCAATCAGGAGCCTGTGGCTCTGGCCCCGCCTGCCGGCTGCGTCGAAAGGACCTGGGTACTTGAGAGACCGCCTGCTGCCAATTACCTCCAACAGACCTATTAGATCCCACAGATTAGGCCTCCTCCGAATCCCATCTACCGGCCAATGCCGATTATCTACCTTCTCTGTGGCTGCTCCGGCCCTTTGGAACGAGCTCCCCGTGGAGATTCGGACCCTCACCACCCTTCAGGCTTTCCGCAAAGCCCTTAAAACCTGGCTGTTCCGACAGGCCTGGGGCTGACGAGTTCCCGTCCCCGCTCGAATTGTGTGGCTGTTGATTGTTTTTAATTCTTTTTGTAGTTGCCTGTCTGGTTTATTTTTTCTTTCCCCTTGTCTGTATTCCCTCCCCTTGATTTGTTA